GAAAAATGGTTATGAGTATCATTTTTATTATTTGTGTTACTGTATTATAATCTGTACCTGGTAGCAATAACAAACAGGTAAATACATGAAAAAGTGTTACGGTCTATAGAAGATGTGCAAAAAGAGAAGATTTAAAATGTAATTATATAAAAATTTAAGATCAAAATATGAATTTTCACACACAGTGGTCAAAAGATAACAGTTGACTACTCCACAGCAATAAATATCCTTGGCTATTACTCCAAGTGAAGTCTTTGCAGCTGGAGACTCTCTCTTAAAAATATTCAAAAATTCTCCCCCCTTTTTTACAACACAATCTCTTTTTTTTTTTATAGCTTGTATGGTCATCTTCATTTTCACTATCACAGACCATTTGGTAAACATAGCAGCTGAAGATGCGATTAGGTTTTTGTTCAATGTGTAACACTACATCTCTGTCAAAGTAAACTTGGTGACTGTAAGTCTGCAATGAAAACAAAATTAAATCACGGTCTCATTTCAAAAGCCTGTTATACGCAGTAATATGTAATTCTCACAGAACAGATAAAATGGTGTAGCAGAACACTTGTGATCTTACTGCAACAGGGGACGGGGACAGGAAGTTTATGCGACTAATTGGTCTTTTCAGATAATGAAAACATAACATTTAGAAACCACTCTGCATTATTTTGACTGCTAAGCCCACACTTAACTTTATGCACATTAGTATCTCCGCCAGTCAAAGAAACTACTCACATGCTACAAAGACAAATCTGTGTGTAAATGGTTTTGGGCCTGAGGCATAAATTGATAAATACTTTACAAGAAAATCTCATGATAGATTTTTCCAAGCAAATGCTGTACTGAGGAATGTCTTCATCTCAGAGAATGGAAATTTTCAGATAAATTAACCATTTTCTAATAGAATACTTGCAAATTCAAATCACAAGCATAAAATTTGCTCCAAATTTTATGCTCCTTATATATGGGAAATGGCAGAGTAATTTGTACTAGGCACCTAACTCAGATCCATACAGAACACTGTATGTGTAATGGTATATCAAGTGGAGCGTAGGGGGACATTAACATAAACCGAAGACTATGCATTCTACTCACCACATCCCAAGACTCCAAGAATGGAACACTCTTAAGGAGAATCCCATGTTCATTACAGTGAAGGTCAAGGTGAGCTCTACCATCAGGTCCTATCTGAGTGACTGCCACGACGGATAACAAATCCAACTCATCTTCATGGTTCACAATTTTGAAAGTCTCATGAAAAACAAAACCTCGAGCTGATCAGTAAAATAAGCCTTTAGTTATTTTTTCAAGAACTCTGTATTTTTTTGGAGAAAGTAGGTACTACAAGCAGACTTATTGTCTATCATAAGGAAAATCCCTGCATTTTGAGGCACCCAGGAGGTAACTTTCCAATCACCGACTGCTCATTGCATTTCAAGCAAGCACCCATGAGAGAAGAAGAAAAGAATTAAATTGCTGTATGGCTCCTGTGTATGAGTACAAGGGTTTTACATAGAATTTTTGAGGGTAGAGGGTGAAGAATTGCAGTGGAATAACATTGTAAGTGCTGAGAAGGAAAATACATTAGTCACTTAGAAATTGTTAGTGGCGGTATGACTTAAAACTGTTGTCAAGAGTAGTTCATGAGATTTGAGAAAATTACTAGGATAAGTCACAAAATTTTTTTAACCTCTACTCAGAACTAGCAACCTGCAAACAACCTGAGCAAACAGTAGGTCTAGACTATTCTAGGAAGAGCTTTTTTAGAAAACCAAGAATCAACAGCAGGGAGATCACATTTGGTTGTCATAATCTACATGCCTGAGTTGTGAAAGAGGACTCAGGCCAAAAGCTGGAGGATGCCAGCTGAGAGGGCCATGTGTCCTATTACTATGTGCCTGAGAGTACATTTATTTTGCCTATTAAATGGCTCTTTTGTTTTTCTCCTCTTTAAATCCAATAGAGTGTTTTTCCTCTACTGAGGAAAGGTATCTATTAAAGAGTTTGGAGAATAAAGCTTCAGTAACAGGGGAAAAAAAAGTCAGTGGACTTCTCACTTCTGTTGTGTTATCATTGTAACTTTTTATAGCTGAATATAAATGAACTACAAACTTGATAGGTTATGCAGGAACTTACCCTATTTTCACTGAGCTAATACCAATTCCCATGGAAACAACGGTAAAAAGGTTTGCCAGAAACTGAGCAATTAAAATTCATATACATGTGTACATTTCAACTGAGTGCTTCTTGAGAGGTGAAAATTGTTTTCCAAAAATTATCTGAAAACCTCAGGTGCAGAAGTCCTTAAGTCTGTCATGCTTTTATTTTGAAAAAATACTTAACCCCCACCCCAAAACCTTAAATATTTCCCCCTGCACTCCAGCCTTTTTCTAAATTTGAAGTGGAATAAAATGACCAATAAAAGATGGACTGTGCAATTACACTGGGAACCCAAAGATTTAGAACTTTCATCAGCTGATTAGGTGCCTCATACCTCTTATATAAACATACATGACAGCAGATCCTCAGTTATCAAAATCTCATTATTTTGACAGCCTATGTTAAAACAGATATAACAAAAATTTGTTATATAATCCATGTTATCAGTGACCTGAGGAAAGGCACTTTGTGCTCAAAAGCACATCTAACATCTCTCCCACCTATAAAGTTGATCCAATAAAAAAAAGATATCACCAAATAAATCCTTGCCTCTCATTTATTTTCTGGATCATAACAGCTACAGCACTCTAACCCTGTTTAATAGGTGTCTCCTGTCCTTAGCTGTAGGCATAATAGAACCAGTTTAAAAAAAATGATATTCAGATAACTGGGGGAAGCCTGCTGGCTGCTTTCTCCTGTTATGTTTATGACTGTGGGAAAAGGAGGCTGGAGAGAAGAAAGATTTAAATGACATACTTTGCTAAAATGGTCTAGCGAAAAGTTGTTTAGCTATAGTGCTATCCTCCCACTGGTTAACAAAAAGGATTAAACCAGTCTCAGTGTCATTTGAGAATGTACAGTTGAGGGGAGAGGGGGAGGAGAAGGATCCTATTTCCCATGGCTGCATTAACTTTAGGTTAGCTTTGTCAAAACAGGCTGGAACACCCTCCATTCAAGGTAATAATGTATTTATGCCAAGGGTAAAGTAAAAGGATAGTAGCATTCTTGAAAATTTTGACCTATTTTTCTACACAACTGGAATACAAAGAGAAAGAGAGCCCTGGCTTGATTTGTGAATTACCAAATGTCCAAGTTGAAGCAGTATGAAAAGAAACAAAAAGTAAAAGGCAATGAATGAAACAGAAGAAAACAAACTGAAAACAGACCAGCAGTAAAGAATGTTAGATAATGGTTAACCTGATTATCTGGACCGGGTCTGCTCTGCAGAATTTTGTAATGCCTTATTATGTAGTCACATACAACCTAAATAGCAAGGTTACAGCTGTCCCTATCATCACCAAATTTCTTTTAGCACTTACCAATTTTACTGAAACAAAGAAAAGAGTTCATGAGTGACAAGTCACTCAAAGCAGAGAGAAACACAATTTTAAAATATTTCTTTGGATCACTGCTGACAGACTATAGGAGAAATAATCTAAATGATCTGAATGGAGGGAAGAAGTAGGGTAGTTTGTCACACTGTGGGTTTGATGCTGCACTACCTAAGTCACAGGGAGTTTTGCTACTGACTTTAAGAGAAGTTGGATTGGTTCTTGAAGGACAAAGACTATTTCAGGCACAAATGACACTTTGGAGGAAAACAGAAAATGGGAAAAGAAAGCAAAAGGAATAGTTTGGATGGAGGATTAGGAGGACAAAGGCAGCACCAAGATGAATGTAGCTAATAGTTCTGGTTACTGCCTCTGTTCTGGAAGGCGTGTTTGGCTGAACTTGCACAATATTTTGGTATATTTTTGCTCATTGTATCACAATTACCTCTTGTTCTGGGTCATCATCCAGTAGGTTAAAACGTTTTTTCACCACTCGGCCAGAAGCTGTTACAGTTACAGAGTTGTTCACCTGACGAGAAAAGACGAAAAGGTGGTTCAGGACTAAAGGTAACACAGGTTGTGTTTTAGCTGTACATCCATTTTATTTGAAATTAAGTAAACTTTTAAAATACCAAAAGGCAGCACAGTCTTTATTAAACAAAAAAGAACAAACTCTAACCTGTACAGAAGCACAGAAATTACTGTATTAAGAACCACTGTTTGATCCAACCGTAAGGTTTTACAGGCCCTCTTAAAAACAGAGGTCCTATCCAATTTGACAGAATATTAAAGGTGTCACTAAAGTCACTAAGTCTTTTCCCAAATGTACTTCTTACCTTGTTCCACTATTGAGCTAGCTGACACTAACAGCCTAGCTGTCACCAAAATTACAGATGTGTGTGCATTAGATATACTGTTTGTATATGCTTTCTGAAGCATTTTAGGATCCTTTGAAATTAAAAAGCTAAAGATAAGTAAAATATACAAGATGGAAGGGACAAGCACTAAACTACTTTTCATCCTTTAATATTACTTCGTACCATGCTTTCTACAAAGAAAGCAGGCCATTTTCTGCGACTTCAAAGGATTCTTTCCAACACCCTTTTTTACTTCTATGCATTAAAATTTTATTGTGTGATACTACTGATTCATTTTAATTGCAATATTTTAATGACTTAAACTATAAACATAACATATAATTACTGCAGAGAAACTGGGTTACTTAAAAATGCCATCGTGCAGACAGTTGGACACCAGGTCCTACAACTGGCTGGGCACAGCCATTTTTAAGTAAATTGGGTTCTATATAGGCATGGAGTTATACTTATTGGGCTAAATCTGTAATGTAACAATTAGGAGTTAAGCCAAAAAGAAGAAAAAGCAGGAAAAAGCAGGGAAGCACTGCAGAAACGGAAACCCATTAATGTAGCAAACAGAGAAACAAACAGTCAATGAAAACAAGGGCAAGATATACTAAAGAAGCATACCAAGGAATAGCAAGAACTTGCTGGGACAAACTTATGAAAGCAAAGGCAAAACATGAGATATGACTAGCAAGGGATGACAAAGACAGTGAAAAAGTATTCTACACATACTTCAGACAGAAAAGCAGAACTAAGAAACTTTGGGTCCATTGCTCTATAGTGAAGGTGCTTTATTTACAGAAGACACAAAGAAGACAGAGCTGCTCAATGACTACTTCATCTCAGTCTTCATAACAAAAAAAAAAATGACCAAATAAGTAACAAAATGTATACAGACAAAGAAGAATAAATAAAGAGCATGCCAGAGACTTCTTTACAAACTTGGATTCATTTTTATTGGCAGAGTCTGATTAAATTAATTTCAGGATGAAGGAACTGGCTGAAGAAGTCTCAGAGCCACTGGCAACAATATTTACAAAGTTGTGGATGACAGGTGAGATCCCAGCAGAGTGGAAAAGGGCTAACATAGTACATATCTTTAAAAGAGGATACAGGAGGACCCAAGGAAGTAGAAACCAGTCATCCCAACTGTAATATGAGTAGTTACTAGGGCAAATTATAAAGGTTATTATAAAAGCCAATTTGTAAATACTTGGAGGAGGAAGAGATGATCACTAGCAACTCACCTACTTTATTTAAGAATATTTAAAAACAACTTTGGCATAGTTACGACTTTGGTGGATGAAGGGATGCGGTGGACAGAATGCATTTGGACTTTAATAAAGTTGTTGATACAGCTCCACATGATATTCTCTTAAGTAAACTAGAGAAATATGGGCTAAACAGCATTACTGCTAGATAGATATGTAATTGGCTAAATAACTGGAAGCAGAGACTAACTATAAATGGCTCAGTGTCTGAATGGCAGGTTTCAAGTGGGATTCCACAGGGGAGTGTCCTGAGTCTGGTGTTCAACGTTTTTGTTAATTGCTTGGATGCCAGAATAGAGTGCTTTCTGATCCAGCTGGCAGATGACACAGAACTAGAAGGGGGTTGAAAACACTTAGGAAATACAAGTAGAATTCATAAGGATCTTCATAGATTGGAGAACTGGACACTAGACAACAGAACAAAATTCAACAAAGAAGTGTCAGGTGCTACATCTACAGAAGAAAAACCAAATGTGCTAAAACAGAAGGAGGGATAATAATAGCATTGCTAAAGCAGAACTGGGGGTTTGAGTGGATCACAACTTGGCACAAGCCAGCAACATGCTGCAGTTGCAAAAAATACAAATACACAAATCTAGACTGCATTAATAGGAATATTATATATAAGACATAGGGGATGATATTACCACACTAAGTACTACTTATGCCTCAGCTGGAGTATTTTATGCACTGCTGTGCTCTGCAATTTAAGAACAATGTGGAGAAACTGGGGAGGATCCAGAGGCGAGCAATGAAGGTGAGAAAAGGGTTGGAATACAAGCTATATGAGGAAAGGTTAAGAGAATCAGGTATATTTAGTTTGGAGAAAAGGAGATTAAGGGTGATAGATGATATAATTTTTCTAACAGAACAACTGTTTTTCCTTGTCAGATAGGGCAGGACATGAAGTAATGGTTTCAAACTGAAACACAGCAGATTTAGATTACATCTCATACAAAAAACCCAACTTCCTTACAGTAAGAACAGTAGAACCGTGAAACAAGGTGCCCAGAGAAGTGGAAATTTCCTTTACTGGAGGTTTTCCAGAAGAGGCTGAAAAAGCATTTGTCAGGGATAGTACATGAAGAGCACATCCTGCATTTGTGTAGGAGGTTGGATTAGATGAACCATAAGATACCTTCCAACCCTATAATCCTGCGTGTCAGGAAAGTAGGGAAGACCTTCCTATACAGAAACTACAGTACTATTAATCACAACAATAGTACTATTATAAATTCCATACCCCTTTCTTCAGAGCATCTCAGAGTTATTTGCAAACATTAATAAAGATAGTCTTGAAACCCTTCTTGAGAGGTATGTACTGGATTAAGGGCCTGGGCCCAACAGACATCATAAGTAGTGGAGAAAGGCTCAACATCTCCAAAATCAGGCCCCTGTTGTCAAGGTCAGACGGAAAATGTCTGAGAGAGATAAGATTAGAATTCAAGACTTCTGGCGCTCATTCCCAGCACAAAATTATCATTCTTATGAAATCTTAGGAAAAGGCAGGGGCTAACCCTGTTCCTTCTGAATTTAAAGAAAGCTTTGCTACCAACTTTACACATTTTTCTAAAAAAATTAATGCCACTGGTTTCATGAGACAGTATTCAAAAACTGCTGAAAAACCTATTCTGTGTACCGGTGTACCTGCTGAAGCCAAACTGCAGTTCTAAGTAATATGAAAATGTTTTTCATCAGTATTCCCTAGTGTGGCATTTAACTACTTCAGCATTCCCCTAACTTTTCATTGTTTTCTGTCAAAAGTGTTAATATTAGACAGGCTTGAAATGTTTTGGCTATTTGAACCATCAACTTCATGGTTTTTTACAGTATGAAACCTGCTTGTGATTATAATTTAGAAAGACCTTCTTTTGAAATAAATTCATCATTGTATTTACAATTGTTCACCATAACAACTGCTGAGGACTAAAAAGTCAAGGGAGGTTTCAGTAAAATAGCCTTATAATACAAGTTATCTGTGAAATAAATCTCTCTTATATAGGCCTGACGATACAAAGTCTGCTGAATTCAATAAGTCAACAGACTTTGGATCAGATTCATAAGATACAGTGATATACATATCCACATTAATACATGCATACCACATAGTCTTACAAAAGTAAAAGATATTCTTTCAATGAAGCATTTATTGTTATAGTCTTACCATATTCTCCCTGTTGGCCACAATGATAAAATCTTCTATAATTTCCTGTTGGTTGGTATTATTTTCAATTTCCTTCAGTTTCAAGACTCTTAAAAAAAAAGCAAAAAATACAAAATAAGTCATTCTGAAATCTACTTGCTGTAATATTTTTAAATTTATGCTCTAAAAATAATCATATTATTAAAGAATCACAGGTAAGTGAAAGTTACAATAGAAACTTCTTTCAAATCCTAGGATAAATATATACCACATACGAAAGAAACTGTTACTATAACTTGCACCGACTTGTGACATTTTAGCATACCGCTTCTAGAATCTATAGCATATTCATTACATTGTGGTGTTACCTGCATATTGTTTCCATCTATAGTTGCTATGAACTGATGACAATACTTAGGCATAAGGATACTCAGACTAAGGAGGGATCATTTTCCCTGCAGTGGTAGTGGGAATCGACTGCTGGCAAAGCCCCCTTGCCCCCCAATGCTGCTAGAGCCCCATGCCCATGGGTTGGATCCAGCCTGTAGGCTGTAGGTTGCTGACTAGGTCCTGCTGTTTTAGGTCCTTGCTACTTTGCAACTAATGCAATATTGATCCAAAACAGAAAATGAGTTCAGCCAGCTTCTTGGAAGAATAATTTCCCTAGAAATATATGCCCAACTTCATTTGTAAATTATTTGTTAAAGTAGTATTTGGGGGGCAAAAAAAGAAAAAAAAAAAAAAAAAAAAAAAAAAAAAAATTTAGTTTTT